ATTAATGTATTATAAAACAAATAAAATTGGTTGAAAAAATATTATTATATTAAAATACATACATTTATGAAAACACTTTCCTGAAGAAATTTAACTAAATTGGGAAAACCTCATTTTGCAATTTTCTGCATTTCCACGGACATGTTAGCTTGATTTAAAGGTATCGTTCAAGATTTTTAGAAACATGCTAAATTGTTTTTTTGCTGACCGAAGTTTGACACCTTGTACAATAAAAATGTAGCGGGAGGAACCAGATAACCTGGCTGTGTCAACATAACACTTTTGCATCTCTATGCAGTTTTATACAGATTAAGCAAATGCGATATAATGTGTTTATTAATGAGATTCAGAGGTGCTGTTAAGCTAAGATAACAAGCTGCTAGCTATAGCTTCTTATTTCGCTGTAGCGTTACATAATTGTGATTGGCCCCGGTGTAAGCATTTGTCCTGGAAGGAGTTGGTTGGGGAAACTCGGGGATAAATCTCTCATGTAGCTGTGCATCCTGGTAAAGCAACCATCCATAGCCTGGAACAGTTAGCTTCACGCATAGTGGTGAATCTCTGAGATAATGAGGCCAAGGGATACACTGTGGTATTATGAAAATATTGATTATTATTCAAGTATTTCTCTATAGCATTAAATATTCATGAGTAGCACTTACAAACCCAGAAAATATATGTAATCCTGATGGTTTGCAGATGTAGCACATGTGACATCAGGTTTTTCTACACGAGCCCTGCCAGCGTCTAACCTGTGAAAAGAGCTCAGAGAAAAAAAATAAAAAAGAGAAATCCTTCATGTGAAAACAACAAAACTGTCAAACCTAAGCAGAAAATAGCGTGTTCGTGGAGGATCCCATTATAAATACTAAAAGGCTGATTGAGAAAAATAAGTTTACAGGGCCTTTAAAGTGAAAACAACAACATTAAATCTTCAGTGGGAACTACAGATAAAACATTTATTACAAGCCTGATTGGATCCATTACGATTTTTTCCATATGGTAGTAAATAAGGTAATATACTGTGGCATAGTTATGTTTCAATGGAGCCAACGGCCCTCTGTCCTGCTGAGTGAGTTGTTGACTGGTCTGCTGGTTGACTGTCGGCACAAAAACACACATGGGATAGGTATGTGTGTGTGCCTGCTTCCCAGTTATAGCCCATGGGGCACTTTGAGGTGTGGGTCACTTGTTTTCTCCAAAAAATGAACTGATCTGGAAATGTTCTGCAAAGGTTACAAAAAACAACATCTTGGTGAGTAGAGAAGAAATATTCAGATAATTTGTTTCCTTAAAAGTTGCAATGCCACAGTATAAAAATACTAAATAAGTAAAAGTCCTGTATTCAAAATGTTACTTAAGTAAAAGAAAGCAAAAGAATTATCAGCAAAATGTACACATCAGCACTCACTGCCCCTTGTCAGTATTTTATTATTATATTATGGTTTATATTGATTGGAAAAAAAAGATGCAACATTTAAGCAAATGTACTGAGTTACTTTCCACCACTGAGAAAGAATTTCATTTGAATTGCATCCATGTTCCTTCTTTTAAAGGTACAGAATTTTTATCAGCAAAATCAGCAAAATGTACCAAAATTTAAAATGAAGAAAGAAAGAGACATGTTTTAATGTTTTAGCTGGTTGAGGTGGATCCTTAATTCTTAAGCAGTAGAGCAGCAATAGACGTATAAAGTGGCAGACTGCGAACTATCCTCTGCTGCCTTTGTAGTCTTGATTCCTGTCTGAATTGCATCACTCACTAAAACTGCAAAGTCCCAAAGTCATGGAAATTATTAATATGTTCAAAAATATATTAAACACATATTAAAGACTGCATTAGAGGAACAGTGTTCATTTGTAGATCCTAACCAACCGGGTAAAACTACAGCGGCCTCAAAACAAGCACCAGCATCACCTCTTACAGTCTAAAAGAAAAAAAAGGTTGTGGTATTGTATTGTTTTCTTCTCTTACTGAACTTGAGACAACAAGTTGAATAAACTGAAGATATTAAGTTGAATTCGATACAAACCTTTATTAACATTGTTTTCCTGATTATGAAAAGAGACAACTATGAATTATTTTAACATGTATTAAAGATGCACAGAAAGTTTCCATCATGTCTGCCATGTCTCAGGAGAGTTTGAATTCTTAAACAATGCATAGTGGGAAGCCTGTTAAAATACTGATTCTGATTCATTTGAGCTTTCTTGCTATATATGGATATCATGTGTACGTCAGCCCCTATGACTGCCAAAGGGCCTCTCCTAGAATATAAATTGACACGTTTAACCAAGCATCCTTGTGTGTAAAAGCTCACAGTGGCTTAAAATGAAATATCACAAAGCTTTTTCTGAGATTTCTTTGCCTTACAAGCAAACCAATCAGATATACTGACATGTACAGTCCTGCCTCTACATGGGACACATTCAGGCATTCATTCACCTGAGATGGACTCTATGACCTGTCGGATGAAACACATGGAGCACGATCCCACATACAGATGAGAGGAACATGAGAACTCTCCACACAGCGCTTCAAATTCCCAAACAATATTAATTCATGTCATTTCTTGTCAAATTCTTTTCAAGAAAAGTTTTATTTTAAGGTCACTCAGAGTAGAATGTCTAATCACGTGTTTACAGCACATTGTGTGTAATTGATTTGAAAACTTTGGCACCACCTAGTGGTAGAATCAAAAAAGCCACAGTGGCACATGTGCACTGTGGACCTGGATCATATTTGTCAGATTCGCAAACCCAAATATGCTAACAGGACCACTTCAGCTGAAGTTCATTTACTCAAGTACTCTACTTAAGACTCTACACATTGTGAGTTAAAAAAAAACACACCGACTACACGGTGCCTATTAAAATTACCACCCAACACAACATTATGAGCTACAAAATTTGGAATTTCCTGCAGGGCCTTTGCACATCAAAAAATATGTTTCTGTTTCTGTTAATATTAAATTACCTTTTTAAATAAAAGAAGAATAAATCTTGTCTTTAACATTAGGTGATAATGCTTAAACCCATGTGTAATGTGCTTTAACTGTGTATATGTCTCTGATGTTTGCTGCCCTCATCCAAATCCTCATGTTACTGTCCCACACTTAAAATTATATCAAAAATAGGCTGTCAACACCACCACGTGAAAATATCCTAAGGAGAAGTAAAATCAAAGTTAAAAAGTAGATAAATATTATCAGAAAAATATCAGAGGATCAAGTAAAAGCACACATTAATGGATTATTTTTGATACATTACAGTGCAGGTAGTATTCTGATGTGTCTGGTCATGGCTGAGCTGATTCAAACTACTTTATACTGTTGGGTGTAACAGTGTATCATATATTACAAGATGATAATGTATTTTGTAGGTAAAATCTGAATCTGCAAAGTAACCAGTAACTGTAGCTAAATGTAATGGAATAATGTATTTGAGTAAATGTACATTTGTTACATTGCTTTGATACTTACTATAGTAATATTCACATATATATTACAGATATTTTGAATGACTCATATTCATGTACTGTAAATACTGAGAACACAGTATTGTAGATACTATTGATTTGCACACAGAGAAGCGCTTCAGTGTTACTTAGATAAATGATGCCCTCTACTGTTTCATCTACAATTCACAACCCTGTCTATATACTTGGTAACATACTCTGTGTCTATGAAAAAGGCCTATTTTAAAAACACATACTATCACAACCACTGGCATCCATAGGCAAAATTTACTATATTATGGCATTACAGTACACTCACTACTCACTATATATTGTGTATAATTTGCCAGCAGAACGAGGGGTGCGTTTGAATGAGCCGTCGATTTAATGGTGATAAGAAATAAAGCTGTAAAGATCCTACACACTCATGATTCACCCACACAGGTGTTTTCACATTTTACCGGATTGCACCTCCTCTCAGGACTATGTGGGTTTCGCCTGACATCTCTCTGACCTTTCTATTAGTTGTGTTGTGCCTGTTTAGGTGGGAGAAACACACAGCCAGGTAAAACCTTTGAGAATGGGTTTATTTCTTGCATGTTTTTGTGTGCAAAACAGTGGAATGTTCTCAGTATCATTTGTGAAATAAAAATCACAGTTGAAAAAAAAAAAAGTATATATCTATATATATATATACACACACACACAGTACTGTGCGAAAGTTTTAGGCAGGTGTGAAAAAATGCTGTAAACTAAGAATGCTTTCAAAAATATAAATAATAATTGTTTATTTTTATCAATTTACAAAATACAAAGTGAGCGAACAAAAGAAAAATCTAAAACAAATCAATATTTGGTGTTACTACCCTTTGCCTTCAAACCAGCATCAATTCTTATAGGTACACTTGCACAAAGTCAGGGATTTTGTAGGATTATAGTCAGGTGTGTGATCAACCAATTATACCAAACAGGTGCTAATGATCATCAATTTCACATGTAGGTAGAAACACAGTCATTAACTGAAACAGAAACAGCTGTGTAGGAGGCTTAAAACTGGGTGAGGAGCAGCAAAACTCTACACTATCGAGGTGAGGTTGTGGAAGACAGTTTCATGTCACAGGTCATCCACCATGGCAAGACTGAGCATAGCCACAAGACACAAGTAGTTATACTGCATCAGCAAGGTCTCTCCCAGACAAACATTTCAAAGCAGACTGGGGTTTCATTTTTGATGTTTTGATCTCAACATCGAGTCTGTCTGGAATTGCACGAAGAGACAGATGGATTTGAGGAAGCCTACATCCACAGAAGATCTGTGGTTAGTTCTCCAAGATGTTTGGAACAACATACCAGCCGAGTTCCTTCAAAAACTGTGTGCCAGTTTACCTAGAAGAATTGATGCTGTTTTGAAGGCAAAGGGTGGTCACACCAAATATTGATTTGATTTCGATTTCTCTTCTGTTCATTCACTGCATTTTGTTAATTGATGAAAATAAACTATTAACACTTCCATTTTTGAAAGCATTCTTAGTTTACAGCATTTTTTCACACCTGCCTAAAACTTTTGAACAACAACCACTATCTGGTGAATCTTGACTCTTGATCCAATAAACTTCGAAGAGCAGCAATGTGTCATGTTTGAGACCAACGAATAGGTCGTCCATACAGTACAAGTGAAACACATTTTAAAACTTATTGAAACAGAGTGTTTGTGAGACATAGCTTACTAATAATAGTTTTAGTAAAGTATTATCACTGCAAAAGCTTAAACTACTGATAAAGAGGAACAGAAAAGGAACATCACAGTGGCTGATCAGGGTTATTTCAGGCCTACAATTTTTTTTCCATTCTTAAAACTGTGACTTTGGCCAGTGTTACAACCCACAAGGGAGCCTCTGTTTTGGTGTGTGAGAGGATGTGGCAGAACCCCAGTTTCTCGTATAGGGCCACGGCAGCCGTCTGGGTGGAGCTGGTCTCCAGCACCACCTTGGAGAAGCCTCGTTCCTTACAGAAGTCAACCACGATCTGAGCCATCCTGAAGCCCAGGCCCATCCTTCTGCACAGTGGAGAGATGATCATTCTGAACAGTTCGCCGTACTTTTCTTTCCCACTTTGTTTGGCCATCACAGCCACCATACCCATGATCTGCGCCCTCCCATCAACTTCAGCCTCAACCACCCAGAAACAGTCATCCGGTCTGCTCAGATAGTTCCCAGGGATGTCCTGCATGTCTGTCCGGAGTCTCTCCCTGACATAGTCGGCATATAGCTTATAAGAGCAGTAGTAGACAAAGCCTACCCAAACTGCTGGTAACACCACAGCCCCTAACACAGAGCTGAGGAGGTATCCAGCAGCACACAGAGCCAGGGTGATGGCGAGGTAAAGAGGGCTGGTCATGGCTTTGTGAAAACATGGACGGATGTGCTCCTTGATGCCGATGCTGAACAGAGTGAACACCGTGTCCTTGTCTGAGGGACGGTACCGTCGGATTTCCAGCTTCATGGCCAGAGGGTTCTTTAAAAGAAGAAATTAAAAGAAGAATCATGAGAAATTTTTGTTGCACTTAAGATAAATCCCTAAGTATGAGCTCTTTAAGGGTACAACTAATTATTCAGTTTACCTGCTGATTATTTTTTCAATTAATCGTTTTATCAATGAAATGTTGAAAAATTATGTAAATTTGTTTTAGTCGACAATCAGGCATAAACCCAAACATATTCAGTTTACTGTCATATGACAAAGCAGCAACTCCACACACTTGAGGAGCTATCACATCTATTTGTGTAATCACCATTTAAGATGGACACTCGCCTAAAAACTTGGCTGTAAAAAATGCACAAGAGGGCATCAGTAATAATGTTTCATTAGGCATTATTAATTCAAAATATAGTTATAGAGCTATGCAAGAATTCAATATAATTATCCACAGAATTTATATTTTGATGATCACATACTGTCATTGCTAAATATTCTGTGTAACTAATGATTGATTCCAATCAAATCCAATGTAATTAATGCATTTAACTGTAATTTATCTAACCCAATAAGTTATTGGAGTGTTTATCATTGATGTAACCACGTTAATAAAAACTTTTTCCATTTTAACATGTCAGTGTGCCTTTTATTTTTTTCTTCTAGTGCTCACTAGTTTTTTTGACACGTGCAATAGCAGACTCTGGTTTGCACCTCCTCCCTTGTTTTTATAGAGAGTTACTGAGATTTTTGTTTTATATGTGAAAGGTTTTGGCTGAGGTGATGTATAACACTGAAACACAGATCCTTGTTTGTTTTTTTTTTGGTTTGTTTTTTTGCTTTCTGCAGCGTCTGAGAGATAAAAGCCAAGGCCAGGTCATCCATAAGTGATTTTCCATCACATGATCATCTTTCAAATATTAACTATGAAAACGGCAGGAAAACTGTAGAGACGATAATTAGTTCTTTTACAGTGTCATAACCAGTCTCCTGTGCTAGTCTGAACTGTTTCAGTACAGGGTTTCTGCAGTGCTCACCAAGTTGAACTTAAGACTTTTTAAGGCATTTTAATACCACACAGAATGTAATTTAATATCTGAAGGACCAAAGAATGATAAACAGCTATGAAAACCAGAGGGGATGATAGGCCTACTACTTAGGAATATTTAAGTGCATGAATTTATTGATACTTATATCCCATTTTTGTCACTACTTCCCCAGTGTATATAGGCTAACGATAATTCCTAATAAGTAATCATTAAACATGACCTGGACCTGGATAAGCAGCAGAAAATGGATGGAAGGATTAACAATTGATTTAAGGTGCACATATTGATTTTACATAACATCAGAGGCCTGAACAGTAGCACGGCTGATTTTCCAGACAGTTTGTTTTCAAATTCAAAATCACATTTATAAGTAACATTATTGCCATGGGAGGCTATAATATAGTAGTAAATGGAATTTAAGGCTTTTCAATCCTATTTTTAAAGGCCGTTTTTTATTAGGAAACTGAACGTAAGCCTTTCGTAAGACCTGCAGACACCCTGCAGCAGTCAAGTCTTCATATCGTGACCAGTAACAAGTCAACATCATGATTTTCATGATTCCTCTTAGTTTAAGTTTCTACAGTTGACTATCATTGCAAGAAACTCAACTCAAATCAACTTTGGTAGAGGCCTTATATTCACCAGTTCACGTGTGAGCCATAAACTTACCTGTAACGCTGTACTACTAATTTAACTCGCTGCAGAACAGCTTAAATACTGCATAAAGGAGTTTTTTTTCCTGCTAGCTACATTATGATTTCACGTTTTAAGGAAAACTTGCGCTTTCTTACATTACTCAAGACAACTTGCAGAAAACGGTCCTTGTCGACGAACAGCTCAGTCCAACTGTAGCGGCTCATATGAACTACTGTGAACCCGTTTGAAAGTTCACTTTACCGCGGAGACGTCAACAGATCGACGACCTGATCTTTCCGTTTTATTTTTATGCCGGATCGAAGTTCAAGGGAGAAGTAATTAGACATAAGGCCGCTCACAGAGTCTGTGGTGCAACGTTAATGATCCTGGGGGAAACGACTGTGACTCCCTCATATATTTCCATCGCTGATGTCCAGAAATGCCAGCCTCCATGATCCGTGACACCGGATGTAGTTGGGTGTAACCCAAAGAGGCAGATTAATTCATCCATTAACATACAGAAAAAAACTCAGTGTTATCATGGGGTGGACCTAAATTACAGATTTATTCATAAACATGCAGGATTTAATGCAGAAAGTAACAACTGCAACAGAATTTTGCACCTGCAGTGGCATGCATGGCATTGACGGATGTTTCCATTAATATCTTTGTGATAATACAGTGCAGGAATATGGTTTAATTAAACAGTATCACACGAGAGGGACGGCTGAATACCGAAGCCATATCACAGCTGTGCTGATTAACAGTATAAAATCACGACCTCGAGTGTGATATTGCTTTTATACAACAGTTCTACGAGCGCCATATTAGTTAAATAAGCAACAACAGATGATCTGTTTGTTTATTTCATCATTTGTTTTGGCAGCGCCAACACAAATAGTTCCGCAACTGGACTGGTACTTTTTCTGCACGAACCTGAAATCATTTAATGTATTACTGCCACTAACACCATTCTTATGTTTCTAACCAATTTTTGCTGTAAAGTAATACATTTTGGGAGATGATTGTAGCTATTAAACATACATCATTTGGTTTAGTTTTGAAAAGAAGTAGATATCAGCACATATTAGATGTTTTAAATTATAATTTTTCTATATTTGCTGGCTACAACAAAACCTGTGCAAATCTAGTTAAAATTACATCAAGTGTGTTTGTTGTTGTTGTTGTTGTTGTTTTAATATGTTACAGAAATTCACTTCCTGGGAGACTAAAAAATACATCTTTAATAGAACACGTTTTGGGAAGTACATGTGTTTGCCATTTTACTGAGTCAGCTGAAAACATTGATCATCTTATGCATCAAGAAAAAATATACAAACAATACAGCTCAGCTGGTATTTTTAAAGTGTCAGTGTCACACTGCTAACCACAAACCTATAAAAGTACAGTATGTCTCTGTCTCTAAAATAAAGCATGAGACAGGTCAGTGAGATTGTGATAAGTGAACTATGACTCAAAGCAAAGGTTGTATTAATGCAATGTGGCTGTTTAATCATGAGTCAAATCTGCTGTCATTCATTTTTGGCCACACTGTTAATGGTACTGCTGGGATTGTTGTCTGTCATCTGGCTTGTGTGAGATGCTTGATTTTCTTCTCCCCATGCGATATACCGTCTCCAGAGCTTCAGGTATGCAGCCCTGATCTTCTGTATTTTGAACGCATACACAACTGGGTTTACAGCTGAGTTAGCATGAGAAAGCAGGATGCCCACATAGAATGCTATCTCTGGTACATAATTCGGCCCATTAAAGTAAACAATGCAGTTCATTATGTGGAGAGGGAGCCAGCACAGTGCAAAAAGGGCCAATACCAGGGACAGAGATCCTGCCAGCTGCTTCTCTTTCCTTAGGTAGTTCAGAGATTGTTTCTGGGCACCGCTACCTGGTTTCTCTCTAAGGTTCCCTCGTATGGTACAGAATACAAAGCCATATAATACAATCATCACCATCAGAGGGGTCAAATTGTAGAGAAAAAAGCTGAAGTACACCAGGTATGACATGGGGATCACAGTTATGAACTGGCAGATGATGGTAGAGTTGACTGAATTAGACAAGGCTTCATCGTTGTACCATCCAAGCATGGGAGCAAAGCTTAGTGGTATTGCAACAAACCAACATGCTGCTACCGCAAGCCATGAATGTCTCCGTGTCACAGTCTTTTTGTACCTACAGAGAAAAACACTAGTTATAGGTATCATCAACAGTTCCCAATGTATTTGTGTTTCCAACTACACTGACACAAAATAAATTAAAAATACTATAACAAAATTTGAGTAAGAATTATATAATTTAGTGCAAGCCAATTAAAAAGTGCGAGTAAACAAAAGCTTTTTTGCCTTATTCATTGTCCAAAACACCTCACAGTACCACCACTACATGTATTTAGCATAGGAAACTGAATTCCTTACCCTACCAGTGCAACTTTACTTTTATCTCAGCAAGCATTGTCTCAATAATCTTACCTGAGAGGGACATACACCCGGAGGTAACGGTCCACTGCAATAGCCACCAGACACAAAATTGAGACTAAGGTCAACAGGATGACCATGCAGCTGATGAAGAGACAGCCATGAAATGAAGTCTTCACTCGTCCGTCCACCAGCACAGCCAACGGTATGGCTACACAGCCAACCATAAAGTCAGCAACAGCCAGAGAGACAATCAGGCAGAAGGTAGGCCGTTGAATGCTCTTACTGGTCCGCAGAGCCAGAATAACCAACAAATTACCCAAGCAGCAGCTGACAGCAATGAGCACCTCCACCAGTGTGTAGATCACTTCACCCACATTCATTGTGCTTCCTATCTGCCTAATGTTTGATAGTATCTGGTGAAGCTTGTCTGAATGTCTCTGTCTGAATATCCTGTGCACTTAGAGGAAGTCTTGGTAGTTTAATTATATACATATATCATATACAATCTGTGGGTTTGAAAAAAACTAACCATAGATTGGTACAGAGGGAGTTCTTATTTTTACTATAAAAAAAAGCCACGGAAGAATCCACAAAACCACATCCTTGATGAGCAATATAGTTCCTTACCAAAAAAAAACAAACCCACTTGCACCGAAAGCAGCTGGACTGGTGTGTTTAATGTTGTGTTTATGCAGGTGCAGCAGTGCAAATTCCGCTAAATAGTTTGGTGTGAAATTGCATTTCCGCTCAGTCAGGCTACCGCTCTGTCAGTGGCGACAGTTCATAACAAGAAAAACAACATGTATGTTGAATTGGTACTTTTTAATAACACACCCCTTATAAAGGCTTTATAATAGTTAATAAATTAATGCTTTACAGATGACTTAAATTCCATTCCAATCCTGTACCAGAATACATTTATTAAGGATTTATTAACATCTATGAAGGAGATTTTGTGGAGTGCTGCGCACAGTGTCACTAATTACCTGTAGCACACAGTAACAGGTAGTTTGTGTCAAACTAGGGATTTCCAAAATCAGGCTAACCTGCAAGCTAACTGATGGGGGAGGCAACTTACTTCCCCCAACTTATTTCCCTCCTACTTACTTCCCCCGACTTACTTCCCTCCTGCATACTACCACAAACTTACTTCCCCCGAGATGAAAAATAATTATGAAATGAGCAGTGTGATGAGTTGGCAATAGTGGGAGAGAATATGTTATGGCTATACAGCTAATGATGCTACATATACGAATTAGGTTTGATGATTAAATATTGCTATATTTCAACATCAACCCAGTCATGAGCAGAGTGTTAAGACCGGCCTACTGTGAGTTGCGCTATAGCTGAAGACCCTTGGCTGGAACCCAGGTGGCTCTGGTTGCCATGGTAACCCAGAGACGCGGGATCTAGGTGGATTCTCCTGGAGGCCGTGTCCCGTTATCACGATGACGGATTCTGCCGGTGTCTCAGTCATTAAGCTCTGGTGGAGTTTGCCAGGAGACTTTCTGTCTTGGGCACTCTTGATTTCTGCTCAGCTTCTCTGCAGGCGGTCGTGCAGATGTTATCTGCTGGTGTCTCTTGTGGGTTGATGCGAAATAAACTCTAATGCTCTTTACTTTGGCTGGATAACTTTAGAGGAGACTGGCGTTGACCAGATGACTCTAAAGCTGTCAAAATCTTCAAAAAGGAAAACTTGATGATGATTTAAAGTGTTAAAAAATTACTTTGAGGCACTTCTGTTGTTTTGGTTCAGTTGGTCTTGACTTGGCTTATAAAAATAAAAGATCGTGCATGTAGACAAAAATGATGTTACTTGGAGCTTGTGGCAAAGAAAAATAAAGGACGTGAAAAGTGCAAAAATGGCTAAGAGCCATGAGTTTGTGGCTAGCAGCTTAGAGCTAAGAGTTTATATGGCTACAGAGCCGGGCTTTGAGCCGGGACTCTGAGCTTTGAGCAAAGTTCTCAGCTTCTAGCATCTTCTTTCTTCTTAGCATCTCGCCGAGTTTCTAACTTTTCCGCGTTTCTAACATTTCGGACCTTTCTGTAACCTTTCTGGCTTTTTCTGACTGACTTCTCTTCATCTGACCATGTGTGAATTGTTCACGACTGTTTTATCCCCTGGGGGCTGTTGCATGTTTCAGGGGCGTCACTGTTCTTCTCTTGTGTTTCCACTTGGAGAAGAGAGTAATTTTCCACTGAATTTTGGAATAATTTAATTCTGTAGTTTACTTATAAACTTCCACCATGACCACAAAACATTAAATGAAATAACATATAAAACTACTCGCACTAATAATGGCAGAGAGGAGTAATAGGAGTGTTGATTTCATATTACATCCTTCAAACCTGGAATTAATCATGATACAAGTGGTTAATTGATCAAACAACAATATAAACATTTCCCAAAGCTAATAGCCTATAAATGTGGATTACACAGCAGTTCTTTGACTGTAATAATAATAATATGGACATTCTGGATGTCATGTAGTGTGTTACCTTGTGTGAAGGATGCTGACAGTACAGTATGGTCACATGAAGGACATTGTCTTAAAATCTACATGTTACATTTCAAACATTCTATGGGATAGAAGTTTGGGATTAAACTATTGCAAAGGAACATCTCATGAGTTAGGGAACAGTTAGATATTTAATTTTACATTCTTCTTTAGATCTGTGTCTGTGAAGAGTGCTCTGCTGGTCACTACCCAGGATTGGAATGTGGGTTGTAGTTTACGACTCTTATCTAGAGAGGGACAGAGGAAGGGAGGTTGGTGTGTGTGTGTGCATGTGTGTGTGTGTTCATGCATGGCACAGAGAGGCCAGGATTCACACCTTAGTGTTAATCAGTCCTTTTGTTGTTACTTGTCCTATACAAGAAACAATCAAATGTCATTAGACAGAGTCTTATTGTTACAAACTGGAGATTTTGCCTATATTCTCCAGTTGCCTGGTGTCCATTGGTTGATCCTCTGGAGCTGACCCTTTGACCTTTGGTCTGGTTCTGTGTCGTTCGGACATGCTAAAAGCATGGTCTGTTTGTGGAAGAGGGGTACTTTGTCTCTGTTTCCTATCAATTTGATAGATTGATTGTGGGAAGAGTCACAAAGTGTCGATTGTGGGTCCGTAACTCTGCATGTCCTTACAATGAACTTCCTTAATTGCTTGTGACTGATGCCAGGCCAGGTATGTACGCTACACAGGTGAACTCAGGAACAAAAACCAAAAGTTTTAATCACACAAAACTAATTTAAACATAAATTGTCCGTCAGGGCAAACCATGACAATAAGTCTCTAGACATGAGGAGGACAGCCTGTGGGTGCAGTGTTTGCAGTTTTTATGAGGGAGTGGAGTGTGGGAAAACTCTGGAGGCAGAGGTGAGTGTGAATGATCCCCACTCCACCAGCAGAGAAAGTAATCCTCCAAAGGGATTTGGCACACTTCATGAAACAATTAGGCTGGACCGCCAACCCCCCAGGAAACCTCCCACCCACATGCATGGAGCTGATATTTTGATCCAACTGATGATCAGTAAAGAGACATGATCATGACTGGAAATTTGAAATGTGAGATGTCAAGTCACATGTTTGATACTTTATCAGAGATTTTGCACCCTAATTTCAAATTTTACAAAGTGTCAGTTCCAGCCAATGGGATCCTTTCCCTCCAGATGGTTGGTGATGTCAGGCTCTGTTTCTATAACAACACACTGCCAGCATCTGTCACTGAAGTCCCTTTGTTGTTCATTGACCACTGCTCAGGGAGTCGGTGTGGGAAACTGAGCTCAGCTTGTTACTCACACTGACTACAAGGCGGCACGTGTCCAAAGACTCTGCTACATCTGGGCAGCAGCAGGATTACTGTCTTGAGTTTATTTTAAATTACATGAATGGGCTTCACTGTTTTGTGATATCTTACATTGTTTTGCTAAATGATCATAATTTTGATTATGCAAAATTTAATTTAAAAAATCATGATGTGTAAAATAAATATCCAACTAAATGATCATTTCAAAATAGACAGATTTCATCTGCTACATTTTAGATTGTGGCTCAATAGAAGTGCTAGAAAAAAAGAAAACAATTTCTTCATATATATTGTCATCAAGTGTAATTCATGAATCAAAGAATAAATGTTTTCTCCTTCACGTGTGTGATGGGATGATGAGCGTGTGCTCAGTCAAAGTCATTGATCCCAGCATCAGGCAGCAGATCTGCTCTCTCTACTTGGTCACCACTTTCCCAGAGCTCTGTGAGTCTCTCTCCATCACCCCCCAGTCCTCCACCTGTTCCCCTGAGATCTAACTATTGTCCCCCGGGCAATGTAATACCATTCAGCACATTGCTGGTCCACATGTCCTATTGTCTCACTGAGCTCTCTGATTGGTTGAGACTGTGAGAAACTCCAGCCAGACCAAGACCCACACATTCATATGTAGATGTGGGACTATAAATAGGAGGGATGAAGCGTGCAGAGATCAGATTCTCTCTACAGAGACCTCTACAGCACAGAGATCCAGCCATGACACCTACAATCACTGCAGCAATGACCAACTCTGAGGAGCACCTGACTCTGACCCACAAGGTAAATTGGAGCTTCAAGACTTAAACATTATAATTATAATGTCTTTTGTTTAATGCTATCACTTTACTGCAGAATAAGTTTATTAATGACTTTGTTCTTCTCTCTGCAGCTCAGAAAGCCTCTGGTGGAGAAGTTACGCAGAGAGCGAATCAACAGCAGCATCGAGCAGCTCAAGTCTCTCCTGGGTCCAGAGTTCCTCAAACAGCAGCCAGACTCCAAGCTGGAGAAAGCAGACATCCTGGAGATGACAGTTTGCTTCCTGACACAGCTGCAGCAGCAGAATCAACAGCAGAGAAGACTGCTGAACCACGTCAACAAGCTGCAGTCTTCCTCTGAGAAGAGCCTGATGGAGGCTGACTTCTCTCTCCTGAGCTCCACAGTCCAGACCAGCATCACCAAAGAGAAGAGTCCAGTCAACAGCGCCCTCTGGAGGCCGTGGTAGACACCTACAGACTGGACTTACTAGCAGACAAACTCAGATGACCATGTTGGTCAAAGATTACTTGAACTGAATTCTATGAAATTTAAAGAGTCGTTCTTCTGTGTGAACAGAAGCTTGTATTTTGTTGCTTTGTGTAAGATGAGATTTCCTAATGGAAATAACAACAACAATATCTTTCAAATGAAGAAAGAGAACATCTTGTCATGCATGTTGCATGAATCAAATGTGATTGCATCAGCAATTATTATTATTATACTTCACTGTACTTCATGTATTGGTGGTGTATAATGCTTTGGTAACATTTGTTATCTTTTGATTATTATTGATCAATGTGATAAAAAATATTGAAATGTCCTTTTTTATGGACATATGGTCATATTGGACTTTACGTCACTTTAATCTCTCTGATTATTCAAAAATGATCTGTTGTAAGATCCAGATGTGTATTCTTTTTTGTTGAATATCACAATTTTGCTGTGATACATTTGTGCTTCATTGTGCGTCATGTATTAGAAAATATGATGCAATAGTGATATTTGTTGTCTCTTGAGTACTATTGATCATTTTGATCAAACATCTTAATTGTCCTGTTTATGGACATGTTGTCATAATGGACTTTCCCTCACTTCATGTGATTCTTGAAAACTGATCTGTTTTAAGATCAATATGTTTCTCTTTTTATTGTAAAAGGTTTCTTTAATGTCACATTGTCACAGTTTTCCAGTGACAATATAAGTTTTACTTTTAAGAATGAACTGATGTTTCTGGTTATTAAGAATCTGACCTGTTGTGAGGTCAATTTTTACTGTTTCTTTTGTTCAGTATTTGCAAACGTTTAATCCATTTGGAAAAAAACCCTCTAGGACAGTGATTACAGTGTCCTCCAATATTGTAAACTGTTTGTCTTTTATAAAGACAGTTGTTCCCTTACTCTCTCGAGTACAGTGTGTCTTGTAGAAATCTACAAGTTGTTGTTGTGATGTATCATCACCTCTAGTTGGAGCTGTCATACTTGTTGTGGCTCATTGTGCCTTGTTGAATAAACACACAGTCAGATGAAATTGTTTCCATGTCATTTTCCTTTATATGTATCCTGCATATCATGATGAACCACAGACTTTCTGCATCTGTTTTAATGAATTTCTGAAATGACCACGTTTGCTACAGTGAATTTGAATGTACACCAAGGAGTAACTGAACATCTTGAACCTAAAGTTTTTATTGAAATTTTAAGCAGAGAAAAAGTTGATGTGGCTCACTTAAGATGTTTGATGAAGATAGGCCACTCTGTTTATATGCAGTACGTCAAGTAATCAAGTAAATGAGAGAATGAACCTTTCAAAAAACCTTTTTCTTGCAACATCTGTTCAGGATAATTGTCAGGTTTTTTATTATAAAATATTTTAAGTTAACCATAAGTTCACCATTTCCCTCCTTAAAGAGGTCAGACCTTGTATCTAATGTGACGCATAATAGGACACACTTCTATTGTTCCTCCAGTGAAAGGACAGAGTGTGGGAAACCAGAGGAAACTCACTCACAGAGCCCTGTGGGACAATAGATCCAGACCTTTGCCCTGAAGAGACAGAGATTAAAAGGGCCTCTGGCTTTAAAAGGTGGACCTTGTTTCAAACCACTTTTTGTATAAATGGACAGGTTAAAATTTCACATTGCCTTGGCTTGGTTTTTTTGTCCAAAAAATAAGTAGTATAGTGTTAAAAGTGCCAAGAGAAGGTAAGAGAACCAATGTTTTAGGAATAGAGGAGCTGGGCTGCTAGGCTCCATCTGACGAACTTTAGCTGTTAGCTCTTGGGTGATGACTTTCCTGCTTCTTATGTTGGCCAGCTTTTAACAATGACTGAATTTCTTCATATCGTTCACTTTTCTTTTCCCTAATATTTCCTCAGGTGCGGCATTTGCCTCTCTATCACCGGTGTAAAGTCTCAGTCACATCATTTTTAAAAAAACATTTAAATGTGTCTTTTATAAGTTAGCTGGTTCATTTTGTGAGAAGGGTTGTATTTAGTGTCCACTTCCTGTAACTTTAAGTATGACCTGGACAAACTGATGTAATCAGAAATAATGAAAAGGAGATTTTAGCATTTTACAATATCAATTAATAATCTTGCAAAATTGTGAAGTAATAAATCTTGATTCTCAAATAATGCTCAAGAGCCACATTGTCACATTATTTTTTGATGAGGCACCACTGCCCACCCACTGCTTCTGCACAGAATCCCCAAAAAGTTCATTTGTACAGAGGCACATGTCTCTTTTCTGCTAATGGATGGAGTGTGGGAAAACTCTGGAGGCAGAGGTGAGTGTGAATGATCCCCACTCCACCAGCAGCAAAGTAATCCTCCAAAGGGATTTGGCACACTTCATGAAACAATTAGACTGGACCGCCAACCCCCCAGGAAACCTCCCACCCACATGCATGGAGCTGATATTTTGATCCAACTGATGATCAGTAAAGAGACATGATCATGACTGGAAATTTGAAATGTGAGATGTCAAGTCACATGTTTGATACTTTATCAGAGATTTTGCACCATAATTTCAAATTTTACAAAGTGTCAGTTCCAGCCAATGGGATCCTTTCCCTCCAGATGGTTGGTGATGTCAGGCTCTGTTTCTATAACAACACACTGCCAGCATCTGTCACTGAAGTCCCTTTGTTGTTCATTGACCACTGCTCAGGGAGTCGGTGTGGGAAACTGAGCTCAGCTTGTTACTCACACTGACTACAAGGCGGCACGTGTCCAAAGACTCTGCTACATCTGGGCAGCAGCAGGATTACTGTCTTGAGTTTATTTTAAATTACATGAATGGGCTTCACTGTTTTGTGATATCTTACATTGTTTTGCTAAATGATCATAATTTTGATTATGCAAAATTTAATTTAAAAAATCATGATGTATAAAATAAATATCCAACTAAATGATAATTTCAAAATAGACAGATTTCATCTGCTACATTTTAGATTGTGGCTCAATAGAAGTGCTAGAAAAAAAGAAAACAATTTCTTCATATATATTGTCATCAAGTGTAATTCATGAATCAAAGAATAAATGTTTTCTCCTTCACGTGTGTGATGGGATGATGAGCGTGTGCTCAGTCAAAGTCATTGATCCCAGCATCAGGCAGCAGATCTGCTCTCTCTACTTGGTCACCACTTTCCCAGAGCTCTGTGAGTCTCTCTCCATCACCCCCCAGTCCTCCACCTGTTCCCCTGAGATCTAACTATTGTCCCCCGGGCAATGTAATACCATTCAGCACATTGCTGGTCCACATGTCCTATTGTCTCACTGAGCTCTCTGATTGGTTGAGACTGTGAGAAACTCCAGCCAGACCAAGACCCACACATTCATATGTAGATGTGGGACTATAAATAGGAGGGATGAAGCGTGCAGAGATCAGATTCTCTCTACAGAGACCTCTACAGCACAGAGATCCAGCCATGACACCTACAATCACTGCAGCAATGACCAACTCTGAGGAGCACCTGACTCTGACCCACAAGGTAAATTGGAGCTTCAAGACTTAAACATTATAATTATAATGTCTTTTGTTTAATGCTATCACTTTACTGCAGAATAAGTTTATTAATGACTTTGTTCTTCTCTCTGCAGCTCAGAAAGCCTCTGGTGGAGAAGTTACGCAGAGAGCGAATCAACAGCAGCATCGAGCAGCTCAAGTCTCTCCTGGGTCCAGAGTTCCTCAAACAGCAGCCAGACTCCAAGCTGGAGAAAGCAGACATCCTGGAGATGACAGTTTGCTTCCTGACACAGCTGCAGCAGCAGAATCAACAGCAGAGAAGACTGCTGAACCACGTCAACAAGCTGCAGTCTTCCTCTGAGAAGAGCCTGATGGAGGCTGACTTCTCTCTCCTGAGCTCCACAGTCCAGACCAGCATCACCAAAGAGAAGAGTCCAGTCAACAGCGCCCTCTGGAGGCCGTGGTAGACACCTACAGACTGGACTTACTAGCAGACAAACTCAGATGACCATGTTGGTCAAAGATACTTGAACTGAATTCTATGAAATTTAAAGAGTCGTTCTTCTGTGTGAACAGAAGGTTGTATTTTGTTGCTTTGTGTAAGATGAGATTTCCTAATGGAAATGACAACAACAATATCTTTCAAATGAAGAAAGAGAACATCTTGTCATGCATGTTGCATGAATCAAATGTGATTGCATCAGCAATTATTATTATTATACTTCACTGTACTTCATGTATTGGTGGTGTATAATGCTTTGGTAACATTTGTTATCTTTTGATTATTATTGATCAATGTGATAAAAAAAATATTGAAATGTCCTTTTTTATGGACATATGGTCATATTGGACTTTATGTCACTTTAATCTCTCTGATTATTCAAAAATGATCTGTTGTAAGATCCAGATGTTTATTCTTTTTTGTTGAATATCACAATTTTGCTGTGATACATTTGTGCTTCATTGTGCGTCATGTATTAGAAAATATGATGCAATAGTGATATTTGTTGTCTCTTGAGTACTATTGATCATTTTGATCAAACATCTTAATTGTCCTGTTTATGGGCATGTTGTCATAATGGACTTTCCCTCACTTCATGTGATTCTTGAAAACTGATCTGTTTTAAGATCAATATGTTTCTCTCTTTATTGTAAAAGGTTTCTTTAATGTCACATTGTCACAGTTTTCCAGTGACAATATAAGTTTTACTTTTGAGAATGAACTGATGTTTCTGTGTCCTCCAATATTGTAAACTGTTTGTCTTTTATAAAGACAGTTGTTCCCTTACTCTCTCGAGTACAGTGTGTCTTGTAGAAATCTACAAGTTGTTGTTGTGATGTATCATCACCTCTAGTTGGAGCTGTCATACTTGTTGTGGCTCATTGTGCCTTGTTGAATAAACACACAGTCAGATGAAATTGTTTCCATGTCATTGTGCATCATTGTGATCCTCTTTATAATGATGAAAGTCAGACATCCTCCTTTTTTTTACATTTCTTCCTAAGTGATAGAGATCTCCATCATTGTTCCAACCTTTTAATGACACATCAAGAAAAAAATCAGCACACACATACCAGTCCGTTCAAAACGTGACTGTTTAGTGTAAATCTGAAGACAGTAAATCGTAACAAGTTCGATTAAGACTTTTAATGAAGAGGGATTAACATCTTATGTCGTATTTGGAGTAAGTCATCTAACCAAATGAGAATTTGCTGCACCATTACTGTGGTACAACTGTGTGTTTTCATTTTTAAGTTAACCATTTCCCTCTTTAAAGAGCTCACACAGTGTGTCTAAAGTGACATTTAATAGGACACACTTCTATTGTTCCTCCAGTGAAAGGACAGAGTGTGGGAAACCAGAGGAAACTCGCTCACAGAGTCCTGTGGGACAATAGATCCAGACCTTTGCCCCGAGGAGACAGAGATTAAAAGGGACACTGACTCACAAAATGGGAACTTCTTGATCTGTTATTAAAACATATATCAGTTTTCAATTTTTTTATTCATTTTTTTGATTGTGGTAAAATTGGCTTCACCATTGTCACGTATTTTACCATCTCTTAAAGTTGAGACTAAACAAAATCATTGCAAAAAATGATGTAAATTAGGTTAAATGTAAAAGTAAGTTGTTCTTTAGATTTTCAAATAAACAGAATCTGGTTTTTGTTTAATTTAACTCACATTTCAGCATTACAGCCTTGTGATATCTGGCCACTGAAAACAAGACATTGGAAAAAAGAAGATTATTAAGTATAAAACCAGGGAGGTCAGTGTTCTACTGACAGAACATGACTACAGTCGAGTATCACATGTTGAACTCTGTGCATATTGGTTATACTTACACTATTGTTTTTAAAACATTTGAATGTTGTAGGTGATGTTGCCAATAGATTCCACTACTCCAGATACTGACTGTATATATTTGGAAATTGGGACTTTATGAGCTTTTCAATTTAAAAACAAACACAAAAATGTCCTAAACATATTAAAGGAGGAGCCTCAAAAGGGCCGTTTGGATTTAGTTAAATCATTGATTTCTTTTAATGCACAGAGTGTGGGAAAGCTCTGGAGAGAAGAGTTCAGACTGATTAGGCTCCTTGACTCCACCAGCAGCCGACTATTCTCTAAAGGGATTTGGCACACTTCAGGAAACAGCTGCCTCAACCTCCCACACTCATGTATAGAGCTGAACTTTTCATCCACTTGCTCATACAAGGGCACAGTTATGATTGGACGGTCAAAATGTGTGATAGTGACTGAACATTGACTAAACAATCTGCCAAATCACTTGATCTGACACTTTATGATAAAACTTTCAACACACTTTTAAACTTTGCAAACAGTCAGAGACAACCAATGGCGTTCTTTCCCTCCAGATGGCTGGTGACGTCAGGCTCTGTTTCTACTTCAACACACGTCACAAAGGCTCCATTCAAAGTCCCTTTGTGCTTCATTGACCACAGCACAGGGAGGCAGTGTGGGAAGCTGAGAGCAACTTTCTACTCACACTGATGATGAGACACAAGTCAGGAGACTGTGCCACATCTGGACAGCAGCACGATCGCTGCTATTATATTCAATTCAAATACAGCATGGGAATTACAGTTTTGTGTAATACACAACTGAACTGACATCCAAAATACAATAATACTTTATTCCCTCTTTGAAAAAGAGAGAAAAGGGACAAATGAAAATGTAACTACATTATTAAGACAGAATAAAAGTGGCATGAGTTGCACTTGCTAGATTTAAGGTTATGGCTCAATAGAAATGTTTAGAAACAAAAATATATTTCCACGTCATATTTAATTTACTTACATATGAACTATATTTTGTAAGCATGGATGTAATTAATTGTCACCATCCCACGTGTGTGATGGGATGATCAGCGTGTGCTCAGTCAAAGTCATTGATCCCAGCATCAGGCAGCAGATCTGCTCTCTCTACAGGGTCACCACTTTCCCAGAACTCTGTGATTCTCTCTCTATCACCCCACAGTCCTCCACCTGTTCCCCTGAGATCTAACTATTGTCCCTCGGGCAATGTAATACCATTCAGCACATTGCTGGTCCACATGTCCTATTGTCTCACTGAGCTCTCTGATTGGTTGAGACTGTGAGAAACTCCAGCCAGACCAAGACCCACACATTCATATGTAGATGTGGGACTATAAATAGAAGGGATGAAGCCAGCAGAGATCAGATTCTCTCTACAGAGACCTCTACAGCACAGAGATCCAGCCATGACACCTACAATCACTGCAGCAATGACCAACTCTGAGGAGCACCTGACTCTGACCCACAAGGTAAATTGGAGCTTCAACATGTAAACATTATTATTATAATTTCTTTTGTTTAATGCTATCACTTTACTGCAGAATAAGTTTATTAATGACTTTGTTCTTCTCTCTGCAGCTCAGAAAGCCTCTGGTGGAGAAGTTACGCAGAGAGCGAATCAACAGCAGCATCGAGCAGCTCAAGTCTCTCCTGGGTCCAGAGTTCCTCAAACAGCAGCCAGACTCCAAGCTGGAGAAAGCAGACATCCTGGAGATGACAGTTTGCTTCCTGACACAGCTGCAGCAGCAGAATCAACAGCAGAGAAGACTGCTGAACCACGTCAACAAGCTGCAGTCTTCCTCTGAGAAGAGCCTGATGGAGGCTGACTTCTCTCTCCTGAGCTCCACAGTCCAGACCAGCATCACCAAAGAGAAGAGTCCAGTCAACAGCGCCCTCTGGAGGCCGTGGTAGACACCTACAGACTGGACTTACTAGCAGACAAACTCAGATGACCATGTTGGTCAAAGATTACTTGAACTGAATTCTATGAAATTTAAAGAGTCGTTCTTCTGTGTGAACAGAAGCTTGTATTTTGTTGCTTTGTGTAAGATGAGATTTCCTAATGGAAATAACAACAACAATATCTTTCAAATGAAGAAAGAGAACATCTTGTCATGCATGTTGCATGAATCAAATGTGATTGCATCAGCAATTATTATTATTATACTTCACTGTACTTCATGTATTGGTGGTGTATAATGCTTTGGTAACATTTGTTATCTTTTGATTATTATTGATCAATGTGATAAAAAATATTGAAATGTCCTTTTTTATGGACATATGGTCATATTGGACTTTACGTCACTTTAATCTCTCTGATTATTCAAAAATGATCTGTTGTAAGATCCAGATGTGTATTCTTTTTTGTTGAATATCACAATTTTGCTGTGATACATTTGTGCTTCATTGTGCGTCATGTATTAGAAAATATGATGCAATAGTGATATTTGTTGTCTCTTGAGTACTATTGATCATTTTGATCAAACATCTTAATTGTCCTGTTTATGGACATGTTGTCATAATGGACTTTCCCTCACTTCATGTGATTCTTGAAAACTGATCTGTTTTAAGATCAATATGTTTCTCTTTTTATTGTAAAAGGTTTCTTTAATGTCACATTGTCACAGTTTTCCAGTGACAATATAAGTTTTACTTTTAAGAATGAACTGATGTTTCTGGTTATTAAGAATCTGACCTGTTGTGAGGTCAATTTTTACTGTTTCTTTTGTTCAGTATTTGCAAACGTTTAATCCATTTGGAAAAAAACCCTCTAGGACAGTGATTACAGTGTCCTCCAATATTGTAAACTGTTTGTCTTTTATAAAGACAGTTGTTCCCTTACTCTCTCGAGTACAGTGTGTCTTGTAGAAATCTACAAGTTGTTGTTGTGATGTATCATCACCTCTAGTTGGAGCTGTCATACTTGTTGTGGCTCATTGTGCCTTGTTGAATAAACAAACACTGACAGATGAAAATGTTGTTTCCATGTCATTTTCCTTTATATGTATCCTGCATATCATGATGAACCACAGACTTTCTGCATCTGTTTTAATGAATTTCTGAAATGACCACGTTTGCTACAGTGAATTTGAATGTACACCAAAGAGTAACTAAACATCTTGAACCTAAAGTTTTTATTAAAATTTTAATCAGAG